TAAAAAGTACAAATAAAGGAGAAATGCATAAAAAAAAAAAAAAAAAAAGAAAGTTTGTGGATATTTTCATGCTGCTTCCATTTAAATTATTTACATTTTTAAAGCAATACACTTTCTTTGCATTTTTCCTTTTTATTGGTGCCATATAATACTTTGGAGGCATTAATCAAGAACTGTATAAAGGTTCCCCAGCATGGCTACTAAGATTTAGTTTTTGTGATCCTGGCAGGGACTATTACCTAGAAGTAAATGAGAAGATTACTTCAACCCTACATCTTAAATATTCAGGCAATTGCTTTGGCAGTTAGCTTGAACTGTGCCCTCTGCCACTATAGATTAAGGGAAGTTCCTTCTCCTTTTTCATGTGTGTATTAAAAAGATATTAATGAAAATGCTCACTGGTTAACTAGGTTCATGAAGATTCTGTCCCTTCATGTTTCCCTGAAACTATGAAAAGAGCTGGGAATTTGGGCAGAGACTGTAGTTGAAAATTCAGCTAGAGATCTTAAAGCAATGTAACGAACCAGGCTGCATCCTACACACCTGAGCCTTATTGTAGTCCCTTTTCAGCCTCGTGCAGCACTTGCCCTGAGTTAAGCTGCAAAGTCAGTTTCCTTCTAGTCCCAAAGCTCAGCTGCTTATGCATACTTTTCTCAACCTTGGGCTGATTGAGTTAATCCCACTCTTCCCCAAGGAGGTAACTCTAAGCACCTTCTCCCTCCCTCCCTCCCTCCCATGTCTCCTCCTCAGTTCAGTTCCCTATTCCTAGGAGGATTGGCTTTTCCTCTTCTTTTCACAGGGTCCTGACTTGTCCTGAGCAAGCCAAGTCCATTGCTTCTGCTCCTGGGAAGTGCCAAGATTCTGCGGCGCTGACTTCAACTGCCTTCTCAGGCCTAGACTTTGGGCTGCTTTCCAGATACCTGCATAAACAAGCTCTTGTCGCTGCTGCCCATCCTCCCTGCACCCTACTTTTTCCATCTTACCACACTTTTTTCCCTCTCCCTCTCACCCCCACCCTGTACAAAATGCATAAAGGATGGAAAAACTACTGCAGCCAGAAGTCTTTGAATGAGGCATCAATGGATGAATATTTAGGCAGCTTAGGGCTGTTTCGAAAGCTGACTGCCAAGGATGCCTCTTGCCTCTTTCGGGCTATTTCGGAGCAGGTAAAAGGAAAACATATATCTTCCCTGTACTAAGTTGTCGGAGTTTGAGACATGGCACGGTCCTGTTGTTTGCCAAAAGAAAAAAAATTCCCTTTTGTGTTTGCTAGTGAAAACATCCAGGCCTATCAGGTCTTGGAGAGAAACTGCTTGCTTCTTATTATCTTGGTGCATGCCTTTGCTGATTAGTCTAAATATGTTGCTGTACTTTTGCTATCTTTTCTGTTTTTTAAATGCCAGTTTGTAATGTAGGAGGGGTAAGATAAGGGGGCTGAAGAAAACTGAAATATATCTTGATCCTTTGTAAGCATCGCCTGCTTCCTCTATCTTCAATGCCTAGGAAAATATTTACAGGCTGTGCACATACGGAGTAGAAAAGGGGATGGGGCATGACAGCCATGGCTCCCCAATTACATTGAAGATTATATTAAAAAACTTTTAATAAGATAAGGATTTAATTTCCCAATTTCCTACATATATTCAGAATCAGGAGGGCTTAAGTGTTCAGTTCATAGTCTTGATTTAGAAGTACCTCTTTTAAAGGACTACTGACAATGGACTGGTCTTTCTCTTCTTTTTAGTTATTTTGCAGCCAGGTCCATCATCTGGAAATCAGGAAAGCTTGTGTCTCATATATGAGGGAAAATCAACAAACTTTTGAGTCTGTAAGTAGAATACATACTCTGGGAGAGCTGTTGGTAAAGTATGTAGCAGGTGGGAAAATAATTATGAGCACCTACCAAAATTAAACTGTATCATGCAGTCTCCTCAATAGCAAATATTTAATTCCCAGCTGGCTCCCTTCCCAGTAGCTAATGTGCTTTTGCACTCTCTCCTAGAATTAAGTTGTTTAGGACTCTAATTAAAAATGAAGAATAATCTACATTTTCCCACTACTTACCTTCTATACCAAGAACTCCAGACCCTAAAAAGTTACATTTTGATTGCTGTTTTATATTATCCATACAGTTTTGTTGAACAATTAATACTTCATGAAAGGGTTGGCTCTGCTAATATTTTGAAATGCATATTTTAAAAGATATGCAATTGGGAACGCCCTCTATTTTCTTGCTTAATCCTCTGTACAGTAATCTTCAGCCAGTCAATTTGGGGAATCTTGTAAAATTTATTGTAAGGGAACAAATGAGTCCAAGTATCTGGTCTTTCCATGTGACAAATTGTATAATTAGAGCTCTGCCACTAATGATTAACTTTAGGTACAACTTAGAAGACATATTTTTACACCTTCATGTATTTGAATTCTTGTTAACAAAATTGGAGGCTTCCTTTTGAGTGGCTTTAACAAAAAAACCCAAAACACTTCTGGCCCTTCTAGTGCATTCGTTTCTTCTGTTTATTATGAGTATTTGCCTACTGTTCGAGGTTTACTCTTAATTTTCTCAACAAGTTTCAGTGAATTTTAAAACTATGGGAAGACTTCTTGACTTAAAAGCTTGTTGCCTTGAAGCTGAGTTTAGTCTTCTCTACACCTGGGGAAAGGATTATTAGTGACATTACTTCAAATGCAAGACCATAGTGTAAAGCAGTGCATCTCAAGTATTTTTGTGCATAGAAATCACCTGGAGATCTTGTTAAACTGCAGGTTTTGATTCAGTAGGTCTGAGTTGGGGCCCAAGATTTGTTTTTTTCTTCCCCACTTGAGACAAAGTCTCACTCTGTTGCCCAGGCTGGAGTGCAGTGGCAGGATCACGGCTCACTGCAGCCTCTGCCTCCCAGGCTGAAGCAATCCTCTCACCTCAGCCTCCCAAGTAACTTGGGACTGCAGATGCCTGCCACCTTGCCGGGCTAAGTATTTTGTGTTTTTAGTAGAGATGAGGTTTCACCATGTTGCCCAGACTGGTCTCAGACTCCTGGGCTCAAGTGATCTCCCTGCTTTGGCCTCCCGAAACGCTGGGATTACAAGTGTGAGCCACTGTGTTCAGTGGAGATTTCTGCATTTTTAACAAACTCTGAAGTAATGCTTGCTATTGGTTTGTGGACAACATTTTGAGTAACAAAGATGTGTGTAAAATTTTAAAACTAAATAATTGAGATTCATATCTCAATTTAATACTAAGTGATAGAAGCCAGACCCCCTGCAAAGTTTATACTGTTTAATTTCCCTTATGTAAAACTCTAGAAAAAATACAAGGCAATCTACAGTGACAGAAAGCAGATAAGTGGTTGTGTATCAGTTATAGAGGGGTGCAAGGATAGTTACAGAATAGATATATTTAAATGATTTTTTATAAGTCTGGTGATAATGCATGGAATTAGAAATAAATCTGTTACATTCCCTGAGTTTAATTTCATTTTTATGGAGGTATATTTTACATACAATAAAAACATTTGATGTTTGGCATTTTTAGTTTTGTAGATGATATGCAATCATAGAACTACCACTATAATCAAAATAGAGAATGTTTCCATCACCCCTAAAAAGTTCCCTTGTCCCATGGTCTTTTTTGAAACTAATGAAATTCTCTTTAAAGTTTCTCAGTTTAATTTTGTAAATGTGTGTCTTCAAATTTGAAATTCTTAGAAGTACTGGTCTTGCTTGATTTATGAAAATTATCACTTAAATTGGTGTTTCAAATGAAACTCAAAAGCATACCATTTGATGAAATGCACTGGTATGTGGATATGCCAGGACCAATTCCTAAGATACTTTTTATACTCTAGCTTTTGTCCCTCATGACTTTTGTGTATGTGCAAATCTTCTTGAGGTGCTGTGCAGAGTAGAAACTTACTACCATAATTGTTGACCTGAGCAAAAAAATCCATTGCAGGATAATATTGCAGAATATAATCAGATTTCAGTAATGCTATGTATTTGGTTAAGTCGAGTTTGTTTTATTTTTGAAGTATGTGGAGGGATCTTTTGAGAAATACCTGGAACGGTTGGGAGATCCCAAGGTAAGATCAAATATGGGGGTTTAATCTTTTCAGAGTTATTTGGAATAGTAATGTAAATTTATTCATTCAGCTGTATTATTTTAGCCAGACACCAAGTTTTTTCTTTAGTAGTCAGCTGTGTTGAATCCAATATTTCTTGCGTAAGTTTAGAGGCTGGCAATTGACCTATTGTTTGGTGTTGAACATTGATGATTGTGTGTTAACAGTCCCATCAACCATAGACTAGCAAAAGAGTATACACTACTTGGAAACAGGACAAGCTTAAGCCTTTTCACTTTAATGGGGGAGGAGGGTGGTAATGAATTTTACCAAGAGGTCATTTTTTTTATTAGACAATTCCTCTGATTTGTAGTTGTCTTCTTTTTATGTGGTACTAAAATTCATAAATACATAGTTTATTTAGAAATAATTTTTATGTGATAAAGTTAATTCCATAGTTCTGGACTTAAAACACATTTACTAAATCCCTGCTGCCTTTTTGTACTGCCTTTTAATCCACTTTTGTGTTTTTTAAATCTCTCGTATTACCTGTCCTTATTACTTAATGGCTAAGTAGGGCTTTAGGTCCTTTTTTTCAGGACAAGTTTATGTTAGTGAGTAGCTATCACAGTATTCCAAGTCTCAAAACAGGTTATAGTGTGTTCTACAAATTCTTCATCTAAAACAGTGCTAATCAGCTAAAAATTTGTTGAACTTGGAAAAAAAACTACCTCCTAGCTACAGAATGTTTTTTAAAACTTTATGTACTATTTATGTTTAGGAAAGTGCTGGCCAGCTGGAAATAAGAGCACTTTCTCTAATTTATAAGTAAGTTATACCCTCTTTCTTTGAGAGTGGATGTGTGCATGCATGTATGTATAAGATCTCAATTAAAGTCTCTCAGGATTGCAGAAATTTAAGATTTGATGCATTGATATATAGAATGAAGAAGTCTAAGCTAAGAAAGAGTGTTAAAATATTTTAAATGGTTGAAAAGTCGAAAGAATGTTTCATGGCATGGAAAAATATAAAATTCAAATTTTAGTGTCTATAAAGCTTTATTAGAACACAGTCATGCTCATTCACTTATGCATTGTCTGTGGCTGCTTTCATGCTACAAAAGCAAAGTTGAATAAACCATATGGTCTGCAAAAGCTGGAATGCCTATTTAGCCTTTTGCCAAAAATTGCCAACCCCTGCTTTAAATAAAGAGCACCACCATCCCCCAACTCACAGAGATACATACAATTGATAATTTGTTGGGTTTACCCCTCTTCCTCCCAAATTAAGATATGTTAAAAAAAGAAAATCCATAGGACTTTAGGAGTAATTAGCTGTCTACCTTGAATTAATGTCATTTAGCCTTTTTGGATTATTTTAAAGCCAAACATTAAACCAGATGTTTATATTATTTTATATGAATAAGGTAGGCAATTTAAAAGCACAAATACTTGTGTGTATAACTATCTCTTATATATACCAAATTATGCCTTGCCACTTACCTTTGTTTTCCCCATGTAGTCGGGATTTCATTCTTTATCGCTTTCCTGGAAAACCTCCAACTTATGTCACAGATAATGGCTATGAAGACAAGGTAAGAAGATGAGCAAATGTTGACTTATATAAAAGAAGTTGAATGATGCTTCTGTGTTGCTAGGATATTAAGAAATCATTTTTAACCTAATTAATGAAAAGCATAGTCTGAATGACAAGATTCTCTGTCACTAGCCTTTTCCTCTCTAGTCAGTTTTTCTCAGTATTATCCCTCTAAACAGATCTGATTGTCACTTCTCTGTGACAGGAAAAAAGCCACCCAAAAACCCTAATTGGCTCCCCAATGACTAAAAAGGATCGGGTTCAAACTTCCAAGTTAGGCATTCAGCATCCTGAAAGGTCCCAAACCAGCTTCATTGTCTTCCATCCTTATGCTGTGCTTGCAGATATTCTGCCTTTCATACTTTATGTCTTTTTATTTGTAACTTTCCCAATGCCCCTCGAGTCATTTTCTCCCTTTGTGCTCCCCTAGCAGCTCCCAAGTAATTGTAGTATATATTACATTGTATTTGTTTTTATATGTATTTCCTTCATTATCCGAAAGTTTCTTGAGGGAAGTGACAGTGTCTACTGTCTGGTAAAGTACTTGGTTGAAAATACTCAGCAGACAAATTGTTTTTCACCATACAGCTTCTCCTCCAAAAAGTTTATAAAAGAAAAGTCCTTTATCCTGATTATTTGATTAGTGAAATATAGGCTACACAATGTTTGAGTTTTTTTAACTCTTATTTCACAACATGGAACACAATTTAGACAACATTTTAATGATAACAAGACAAGACGACTTCAGGAGAACTGTTAGGATGCTGTTACGATAATTGAGGGGGAATAACTGAGCTAAGGAGAAGTAGAATTAGGAATAGAAAAGACAGAGTGGGAGATAACTTAGAGGACAAGTATAAATGAGGTACATTAATTATCTCTTTTCTGAGCTTTGGGGACACCAAAATGAATACAGTGAAATCTTTGCCCTCTAAGAGCTTAACAGGCAATGAAGACAGACCTGGAAAGGTTTAATTACAACAAAGTATTAAGTTTTATAATTTAAAAAAATTGTACTAAAAACGTAAAGGAAGAAATCCTTCTTTCTGTTTGAGGGAGTTGAGAAAGCTTCATAATGGTAGTGACATTTCAGTGGAGTATAAAAGAGTCCATCAAATATGAAGAGCAGTCTATTCAGAGGAAACACTATATACAGGGGCATGTAAGTAAGAGACCTTTTGGGACTTAAGTAGTTGGGTGTGAGGAGTGTGATGCTGGAAAGATAGGCCAGAGTTACATAGTAAGAGGTAGAGCAGGCCATGCCAAATAAATTGTTTTTTCATTGTACAGAAGAGTCAATTAAAACTTTTCCCAATATTTTATGTTCAAACATACAGAAAAGTTAAAAGAATTTTACAGCGGGCATCCATATACCTACCCAACACCTAGAGTCTGCTGTTAACATCTTAGTATTATAACATATTTATTCCCCAATCCATTCAACAGTTCACTTTTCTTTTTTGATGTAGTTTAAAGTAAATTTCAGACACCAGCACACTTGACCCTAAACACTAATGGAAAGTTTTTAGGCGAAGGTGTGACATAATCTGAATTGTTTGAAGAAGAGGAGTGTTAGCTTTTGTATCTAAGCAGTTGTACACATAATTACTTGAGATGAAATTTGAATCTTTACCAGGGATCTTTAAACTTTCAGATCAGTTTTTTTCGCCCAACATTGTATTCTGAAATTTTTCATACAGAGAGTTTAAAGACTCATGTAGTGAACATCCATATATCTCCCACTTAGTTCCTACAATTATACAATTCCACTTTTAAATGTCTTGTATATCTTACAGAGAAACTATTTAGCTAATCTAGGGGAACATTGCCTATTTGGAACCATGAGAATACAAAAATGTCAGACCTTTTAAGTGTGTACAACCAACAAATATCCATATGTGTATACAGAGCTAAAACTTACCAGCACTTGGGTAATTGCATATATAGGATAATGCCTATATATGTCTGATTTGGGAATTTATAAATGGGGGGGGCTTGTATTGAAATGTAAGTATGGAAAAGCCAGTGCTTTTATTTTGTGATACTTTGCTTTACCTAAAACTTTGCTGCTTTATCTCAGTTTACATTCTTAAGATGGGCATCAGGATTGAGTTTTTATAAATGAGGCCGGGTGTGGTGGCTCACGCCTGTAATCCTGGCATAAGCGGGCTAATCACTTGAGATCAGGAGTTTGAGACCAACTCAGCCAATATGGTGAAACCCTGTGTCTACTAAAAATACAAAAAAATTTGCCTGGTGTGAGGCACATGCCTGTAATCCCAGGTCCTCGGAAGGCTGAGGCTGGAGAATCGCTTAAGCCCGGGAGGCAGAAATTGCAGTGAGCTGAGATTGTACCACTGCACTCCAACCTGAGTGACAGAGCGACTCCATCTCAAAAATAAATAAATAAATAAATAAAAATGACTTTATTATAGGTAGTGAACATTATTAATGAGCCTTCTAAAATATTTTAGAACAAACTTTCATAGAAATAAATGCCTAATATTCACTTTGGTATCTTTCACCTTCTGTTGACTTAACTCTGCATTCTACATAGTTATCTTCAATTTCTTAAGTGTATTCAGTATTAAAATGAATGCTACTGAAATGGAGCCCTCTTCACTCAGCTCACTTTATCTAGATAGAAGTACATACTTATATTAAAAACAAAATAAAAAGCAAGTCTGGAAATGTAGACTAAGAAAGTCCCCATTCGTCTTCTTCAGTCTTATGCACTTCAAAGTAACAAGTATTGGTTTTCATGCACTTCAAAGTAGCAAACTATTAAAATATTGGTGATTATCTTTCTGTATCATTCTCTTTGTGTTTGTCTTTTACATGTAGATGGACTCATATTTAACACTGTTACTTGTTCTTTTTAAATGTCCTTCTCAGTAATATAGATATACCCTATTTTTTCACTAGTTTACTGTCATTAATTATATCCCACCTGCCCACTCCCAAACAAACCACCCACAAGTATGTATGAGAGAATTATTATTTCACATTGGAATACCACCAGAAACATAAAAGCCATCATGCCTTGTTTTGCCTCTTCCAGTCAAAATGGAACTTCTTGTCACCTGAATAGAGAAATTATATGGTTGTCTGTTTTCTTTCTATAAGAACTGCTTATTCATCAGTTCTGGTTAACTGGATTCCTTTACTTCTTAACAACTTACAACTTAAGTTGTAACTTTCTCCTACCACAACTGCCTCCAGTTATTAACATTTCTTAGAGTTAATAAGTGTGATTTCCAAAAAGACAAGTGAAGAATAATAGAACTGGGATTAAATAACTTGATCTTTGGGAGAAGTTAGCCCAGGGAAGAGTAGGAAGATAGAAAAAAAAAGAATGCTTAGGATAATTGTTTCTGCTAAGGAGGCTTGGTGGCAGCATCTTTTCACAGATTGCAGAATCGTCTTGAGTAACTCAGTTTGTGATACCTTCAAAATGGAAGAACCTTAATTACTAGGGATCATATCCCTTATATAAAACAGAATTTTTGTTTTTTTATTAAGAGATAGGGATCTCACTCTGTTGCCTAGGCTAGAGTGTGGTGGCTATTCACAGGTGAGGTCATAGCACACTACAGTTTCAAATTCCTGGGATCATGTGACTCTCCTGCCTTAGTAGTTGAGACTACTGGCACATGCCACCCAACCTGGCTAAGACAGATTTTTTTTTTTTTTTTTTTTTTTTTTTTTTTTTTACAAAGACTCAGAAAACTTTGGAACAGTTACATAAACAAATTTCATCACATGCGACATTTTGACTGAACAAATTTTGCTTAACAAGCATGGCCTTTGAATTGTTTTGGGAAGAAAAAAAACCTAGGAATTCAAGAATCATCTAAGACCTTAAACTCTCATTTTTGTCATTGAGGAAGTCTCTCTAGCAGCACTGATGCTATATGGTGTATTGATATATTTCTATGAAGTTAAATGGATAACTTTTAAAATAATTGAATAAAATCCCTTTCCTCCCTTAGTCTGAGTTTAGAGTAATTGAGTATTTGACCTAATTTCTCCAGTCATTCTTAGAAGTTAGCTGAGTCTTTTGGCATCTGTTAGTCTTTCTGTTATGTTCAGTAACTCAATTTCTAAGTGTTCGTTTTTTTATTTTGCAAATTTGTAAATCAGGACTTTTTTGGTATATTAAAATAATGTGATTGAGGCTCACAGTGTAACCTTAGTAGTGATTTTAATTTTGGCATTTAAAAGTCAACTGCCAAGAAAATCTCTGAGATACAGGTTACATTTCCTTATATTTAGATATTAAAAAATCACTTTTAAAAAAATAAATTCAGTTATCAATCACTGCCTACTGACTCAGTTTCAAGTTATTTACCATCTTAATTTCATTGTTTTAAGATGTATAACATTCACTTAATTATTCTGTGTGTTTTTCTTTAGATTCTACTCTGCTATTCAAGTAGTGGTCACTATGATTCTGTGTACTCAAAACAATTTCAGTCAAGTGCAGCTGTTTGTCAGGGTATGTGAAGGCTTTATAAATTTTGGGTGTAATTTTAGATGACTTGTCACTCTTTAATTTCAGGGATCCATCATGAATAGCCCCTTTAAAGACTTGTTGGTACCTATTAAATTTGCACATAGGGTTATGACTGTTTTCATGTGTTAATATAAATCTTATTTTGACAATTGGAATTTTGGCCATTTTCCCTTCAGCTGTATTATACGAAATTCTCTATAAAGATGTATTTGTTGTGGATGAAGAAGAGTTGAAAACTGCGATTAAATTGTTTCGAAGTGGTTCTAAGAAAAACAGAAATAATGCTGTGACTGGGAGTGAGGATGCCCATACTGTCTACAAGAGTTCAAATCAGAATAGGTAATAAAGGGAAAGGGATATCATTATAATTATGTTTCAAACTTCTGTGCATCATTATTTGAAAGTAGAAGGGGCCTGGTAAACTTGTGAGTTAGATTGCATATTCACACATACACATATATTAAGGATATATATTTTTGATGGGGGGACAGTTTTGCCAAAACAGATGTATTGTGAGATGCCCAGACTTTGGGGGTTTTGTTCAAGTCGTTTTGTATTGCTAGAAGAAACTTCAGAACTATCTAATTACATGGTTCTCAAACTTTAATTGTATAAGAATTAAAGTGTTTGTCAGAAAGACAGATTCCTGGGCCTACTGTCACAAAATTTGAGGTCAGAATGGGACCAGGAATCTTTTTTAAGCAAGTGTGTCTAAGCATTCTGATGTAGGTAGGCTGTGACCATACTTTGAGAAAATACAGATTCTAAAGTAGCACCATCATTTTCTAGATAACAACTGAGGTTCATTGGTTACTTGACACATTCAGCTAGTAGAAAAATCTCTCAGTCTAAGTTTTAGGAGTGTTTGCGTATCTGCCTTTGGTATGCACTATGAGTACACATTGTGTGCCTCTGAGGAAACAACTATTCAGCAGCTCTAGTTGAACACTTTGGGTTTGAGATAATAAAGTAGATGTCTTATATTTCTTCTGATTCCTAGTTCTGCCTGCAAATTCAGATAGGTTTGGTGCTAGGTAAGTGTCACCTTGTGATTTTTGTCTTGCATTTCTATTTCTTGGATGTTTAAAG